TTAAAGTTACAGCCAATCAGATTTCAGCACACGTGCATGTGCGTAATTTCATGATTTTTTAAATATTATTTTGTAGGATATCCTAATGAATGACTATATTTTAAATTTCAAAGAATTTCGTCAAAAAACAAAGGATAAATAGTTATTTAAAGTTTCAGCCAATCAGATTGCAGCACACCTGCATGCGCGTGATTTCATGATTTTTTTTTCTATATCATTTTGTAGGATATCCTAATGCATGACTATATTTTAAATTTCAAAGAATTTCATCAAAAAACAAAGGAGAAATAGCCATTTAAAGTTTCAGCTAATCAGATTGCAGCACACGTGCATGCGCGTGATTTCATGATTTTTTTTTTTCTATATCATTTTGTAGGATATCCTAATGCATGACTATATTTTAAATTTCAAAGAATTTCGTCAAAAAACAAAGGAGATATTGCCATTTAAAGTTTCAGCCAATCAGCTTGCGGCACGCGCACATGCGCATGCTTTCATGAAAATTCTTATATATCATGTGGTAGATCTTCATAATGTAGGACTATGTTCAAAATTTCAAAGGATTATGACATGAAACAAGAAAGTTATTGAGACTTTAATTTCAGCCAATCAGAGCAAAGCGCACGTGCATGCGCGTGAGATCTTGCTATTTTGACCATGCTATCTTGTCTATACTACTAATGTATCCTTACATTATGAGTTTCAAAAAAATTCATCACGGCAATATCCATTATATTGGTAATTTCAAAAACGTAAAAAGGTTTCATGAAAATTCTTATATATCATGACGTTTTGGGGAACATAGGGCCGTTACAAAAAATGTACGGCAATATCCATTATATTGGTAATTTCACATGTTGCACGTGCGCGTGCAAAAAAATGACCTTTGTTTGGCAACTCTACATAACATGGACCCTAAAAAGGTTTTACATAGTTTACAAGATCACTCGTGGACAAAATTTTCCCAGGAAGAAGAAAAATAATAATAATAAGAAACAGAGAAATACAACTTCGTTTGGGGAACATAATTACGGAGATTGTGGCCGTTACATGTAATCCTACAGATGTGAAAAACAATTACATATTATGTGGTATACACATTTACAAAAACTTTTTTGTACATGAAGGAATATAACTATTTAACAAAGATATGAAATTTGTGAAAGTCTTACTGATGCAGTGAATTTTCAACACAAAGTAAATTTTTGTACACCTTAACATAATTATAGATAAGATTTACTGGTACTTAAAATCATATATCTTGCTTAAAATACATTCCTTTTTATAAATCAAACAGAATGTCATTAAAAACATTTTATATGAAAAAAATTGGCATCCTTTTAAATCAAATAAAATCTTTACCTTTCCTCCTCTTTCCAAAAGGAAATTTGGTACACATCGTTTTTTAAAACCCTCTCCACGGAACCGGGCCACCATATCCCCCTCCATAAACAATATACGATTTGGTCTGTTAAACAAAAAAAAAGGATACTTTAGCCATCATGATCGTCTGAGAGAAAAGGTCACCACATAATTAATCTGTATCTTTGAGTTTTACTGCCTACATAAAGAATATGATTGTTTTCTCATAACTAAATCTAATACTTTGTGGTGCTTTTGCTGAATAACAGGTAGTAGAGAACTTGCGTAGACACATAATATTTAAAACAAATTTTACTATGTGCATGTTAAAAGTTGGAAGCAAAACTTGAATTTGTATTTCAAAATTCTGTCTTGCTAAAATCAGTTCAGTTTAATTTGTGTTATCTTTCTGTCACTCCAAAATGACTACCTGGTAGCCTACAGAACTTCAATATGAGGACATATCAATATTTCATAATTTTCAACACTTACCTTTTACATAAGTAACTTCTTCAGTCTTTCTATTTTCTAAAAAAATTTTAAAATGCATTTATTATAAACTATCTAAAATCTGCAATCAAACTATGGAGGACCATGGGAAAGTTTGTTTGCAAGGTATTTCTACTCAAATAAGTATTTGCATCATCCTAAATACTCCATAGGTGGTGGCAAAATTAATATTTAATTTTTCATACACTATTATAATAAAAAAACACTTTGCTATTAGTTTTCAATTAACTAAATTTTACTTATTTTAACTAAAACTTATTACCTTTCCTCTTCCTCCTTGTTTGAGCTGGCATCTTCAGTTTCTTGAAAAGAAAAGAACAAAGAAATTACATTAAAATCATTTTTCTTAATAATAACACTAAAATGGTTACAGATGTTTCTTATTCAATACATTAAAATGATTAAATTTTATCTCTTGTTATAGACATGATAGAGGAAAATCAATTCACTGTTTCTTTCACCTCAAAAAGCTTACTGTTTCAAAAGAATTTTTAAAGTGTGCAAACATTTATTGCAAAATTTATTGACAATAATGAAGTTCAAAAAACATCTTTTTTCTCTAAAAAAAAATATTCAATTTTCTGTAAATTAAAACTGGAAATACAACAAAAAGTACAAACATGTGTTTAAGCCATATCACATTAATATTTTTAAGTAAATTTTTCATCACCAAAGTTTAAAAAAAACTTCACTTCATTTCACTACTTATGTAAATTCCCTGGCAATCTCTGCAAATTACAAATTCAATTCAATGTGTTACACTTATCTCCATGGAAATTGAAACTGGTCATTTACTTGCATATCCCAACTTACCAAAAAAAATTTTTAGGTCACCACTAAGTGACCTTAAAGTGTGATTTCTTGCACTCATGTGCAGATGTGTTGAACACATCATGCGTCATCCAAACACACAAATAAACATGTTAAACAAAGATTTATTTCAGTTTAACCTATTATGAGAGTAGGCTTTTATAGGAGTCAAGATTATGGAAAGTTGTAATTTTGATATACTTAACAAGTATCTTCACTAAAATTTATAGAAAGATTTTTAGCCCTTATTTGCCATGTAGACTTTTATTTAACATTGATTAAATGCTTTAGTGTCAAAGCTATTGTGGGTTTATTCTGTCTGCCAAAGTGGGGTCATTTTTGTCTATCAGTATGGGGATTTAATATTGTGGTTGCATTCAGTCTGTCACATTGGGTTTCTTTGTCTATCAGTATGGGGTTTTAATATTGTCAAAGACATTGTGAGCTTATTCCGTCTGTCACAGTGGGTTTCTTTGTCTATTAGTATGGGGATTATTGTCAAAGACATTGTGAGCTTATTCCGTCTGTCACAGTGGGTTTCTTTGTCTATCAGTATGGGGATTATTGTCAAAGACATTGTGAGCTTATTCCGTCTGTCACAGTGGGTTTCTTTGTCTATCAGTATGGGGATTATTGTCAAAGACATTGTGAGCTTATTCCGTCTGTCACAGTGGGTTTCTTTGTCTATCAGTATGGGGATTATTGTCAAAGACTTTGTGAGCTTATTCCGTCTGTCACAGTGGGTTTCTTTGTCTATCAGTATGGGGATTATTGTCAGAGATTGTGAGCTTATTCCATCTGTCACAGTGGGTTTCTTTGTCTATCAGTATGGGGATTATTGTTGTCACAGATCAGGTTGTGAGCTTATTCCATCTGTAACACAGTGGGACTTTTGGTCTGTTAGAGCCATTGTGGGCTTATGTTGTTTAGTTTTTCTATGTACTGTTGACTGTCACATTGGAATTATATCTTTTATTGAGAGGTCAAACAAGCCATCCTTATGGATCCATTTATTTTGGTATTCTATTCCTTTTATTTAATTAAGTTTTCTTTTTTGTTTTGTTTGTCACTTTGGGAATTGAATGTCTTTTATTGTGGGACTAAACTGTCTGTCTTTCTGGCTCTATTCAATCCCCCTTATATTCCTTAGACTAGATCTATTATGTTGTCTGTCACTTTGGGAATTGAATGTCTTTTATTGTGGGGCTAAACTGTCTGTCTTTCTGGCTCTATTCATTCCCCCCACCCCTTATATTCCTTAGACTAGATCTATTATGTTGTCTGTCACTTTGGGAATTGAATGTCTTTTATTGTGGGGCTAAACTGTCTGTCTTTCTGGCTCTATTCAATCCCCCTTATATTCCTTAGACTAGATCTATTATGTTGTCTGTCATTTTGGGAATTGAATGTCTTTTATTGTGGGGCTAAACTGTCTGTCTGCTCTATTTAATCCCCCTTATATTTTAGACTGATCTATTATGTTGTCTGTCACTTTGGGAATTGAATTCAATAAACCCTTATATTCCTTAGACTAGATCTATTATGTTGTCTGTCACTTTGGGAATTGAATGTCTTTTATTGTGGGGCTAAACTGTCTGTCTTTCTGGCTCTATTCAATCCCCCTTATATTCCTTAGACTAGATCTATTATGTTGTCTGTCATTTTGGGAATTGAATGTCTTTTATTGTGGGGCTAAACTGTCTGTCTTTCTGGCTCTATTCAATCCCCCTTATATTCCTTAGACTAGATCCATTATGTTGTCTGTCACTTTGGGAATTGAATGTCTTTTATTGTGGGGCTAAACTGTCTGTCTTTCTGGCTCTATTCAATCCCCCTTATATTCCTTAGACTAGATCTATTATGTTGTCTGTCACTTTGGGAATTGAATGTCTTTTATTGTGGGGCTAAACTGTCTGTCTTTCTGGCTCTATTCAATCCCCCTTATATTCCTTAGACTAGATCTATTATGTTGTCTGTCACTTTGGGAATTGAATGTCTTTTATTGTGGGGCTAAACTGTCTGTCTTTCTGGCTCTATTCAATCCCCCTTATATTCCTTAGACTAGATCCATTATGTTGTCTGTCACTTTGGGAATTGAATGTCTTTTATTGTGGGGCTAAACTGTCTGTCTTTCTGGCTCTATTCAATCCCCCTTATATTCCTTAGACTAGATCTATTATGTTGTCTGTCACTTTGGGAATTGAATGTCTTTTATTGTGGGGCTAAACTGTCTGTCTTTCTGGCTCTATTCAATCCCCCTTATATTCCTTAGACTAGATCCATTATGTTGTCTGTCACTTTGGGAATTGAATGTCTTTTATTGTGGGGCTAAACTGTCTGTCTTTCAGGGTTTATCCCCCTTATATTCCCCTAACATTATTTCCTTTGTTAATGTCTTTTATTGTGGGGCTAAAGTCTTTTCCTATTATTTTGTCTGATCTATTATTTTGTCTGTCACTGTTAAAATTTAATGTCTTTTATTGTGGGGCTAAACTGTCTGTCTTTCTGGCTCTATTCAATCCCCCTTATATTCCTTAGACTAGATCCATTATGTTGTCTGTCACTTTGGGAATTAAATGTCTTTTATTGTGGGGCTAAACTGTCTGTCTTTCAGGGTTTACTCATTTACCCCTAACATTTCCTTTGTTAAATCTAAGTTTTCCTATTATTTTGTCTGTCACTGTTAAAATTTAATGTCTTTTATTGTGGGGCTAAACTGTCTGTCTTTCTGAGTCTATTCATTTTGAGTTAAATATGTTTTCATTATTTCATTCTGTCTGTTTTTTGTTGGGATTTTTTTCTACTATAGCCTACTGAGCATTTAAATAAACAAGTTACTTAAAGTTGTTCAAGTAATACATATGTTAAACAATTACAATCAACATAAAAAATATCATCGGATTACTTTTAAATGAATATACACAAAAATAAATTCTTAATTATCTCAAATAATATACAAGATTAGATATGTACCTTTTCATTACTGAATAAGTTCATTCCACCTTCTGAAAAAACTTGTCCACTTTCGAAAGAAGATAAAAAGGAAAATGATACCAATACCTAAGATCATCATAATTATGATACTTGTCACTAATATCATCAAAAGCAAAACCTCCATTTCTCTCCCCATAAAAATCTGTGTCATTCAGAGTCTGTCGAGTGTTCCATGTCAGTCTGTCATTACGGGGATAAAATGACTAACAGAGTGGGCCTGGGCAGTCAAACTAGGTTTACTGTTGAATGTCTCAATTGAGCCAATGAATTTAAATTAATTTGAAAAAGAAATACCAAACAAAAATAAAATTAATTACATTCTTACCTTAATATCCACTAATTTCCTTTTTTTTACTGCTGAATATACTTATTAATAGAAAAACCACTGAGGTTGCAAAAAAACAAAACTGCACTAAATTCCATTTGTAAAAAAAATACTAAACAACTATAACCATATATTTCAGTTTCTAAAACATCTATATCCATGTCAGAGCAAAATGCACATGCTTGAGAGAAATCAAGATCAGAATGAAATAGAATAACTGCACATGGCAAATCACAGTCCTCCATTTTGAATGTTTGTGACATGTGATCGATTACTTCCTGTTTTGGGGATTAAAATAGAATTTCAATAAATCAAATAATTCTATTTATACACGGGGCAAAGCTTAAAAAAATTTTGTTTGCAGTTGCTGACCTTTTATCTTAAGAGTGGGTCAGTAGATAGATATTATTTTTTTAAAAATAGATATCAAGTTTTAGTTGGATTAAAAACCCCTCAGACAGAGATTTTCATAAGATTATTGTTGGTAAATAAAGCTAATTACTTTATGCCACTTATTGACAGAAACAAAATTTTGAAAATAGACATAAAAGTTTCAACATCCTAAAAATTTGAAACTTCATGTTAAAAAAAAAAAAAAAAAAAAAAAACCAAAATAACAAATAATGGCTGTAAAAAAGTTTGAGTCGGAGGCATTTTTAGTGGGTTGGTTGGCAATTGCAAACAATTTTTTAATATAGCCCTGAATATTCTTCAAAACTAGACTGTGTTGTAATAACAAGAATGCTTCTGCAGACAGCCAAAATTTCAAATGCTACATGTACAGGGGATGACATGAGAATGTGTGAAATCATTCAATTCAAGAAATAATACTTGAAGCAAGCGACTAAAACACGGCGGCCATATATCAAGGTTTTTACAAAACTTGTTATGTATCCTGTAGTTCTTTCTCAGAATTTTCTCAGTCACAGAGCAACAGTTCAGCAGTTTAAACCGGTAATAAGAAAAAAAAAATCATGTAATATTCATGTACAGTGAAGTCGCCAATTCCGGGTCACGTCAGGGTGTATAGTTGATATTTTGCAAATCTGTTCAATTTATATTTTATGAAATATATGTATTGAAAGAACAAATATTGAGTCATCCAAGCGCCTTTTCTTTTCAAAGTAGCTACACGGGAACAATATTTACAAGGGGTATTTCAGCAAGGCCTAGCTTCCCAGTTACGAATCATTTTCTCCTTTTCCGGGTCATGTGTCTTCACGGTTGTGTGATATTCATGGAACGTTTCAGAACACGATTTTTATGATGTTGAAACATAAAACAATTTATGCAGCTTGGAAAAAAGTAAAACAATCACAGAAATATGTTTAAATTATTTTTAAAACAATTACAACAAAACAAATTGCAGTATGCAGAATGTAAAAAAATGTATTAGGATTAAAAATAATACAATCAAATTCATTTATTTAAAAGATGCATTTGAAGAGTTCACTCGATTTTAATTTTTAGAAAAAATATTTCCCAGTTAGAATACTTTTAATAATCAAGGTCAATACCTAGTTGTCGATTGGTTTTGTACATAGAATTTTGAGATTTTCATGCCACGAGATTGCGTGACCCACAATTGGAGAAACTACTACAGTTTGATTTAAAAATCATTCTAATTTTATTTGAGCATTGATCATTATGATTGATTTCTGAGTTAAAACTAAATGCATTTGCCATTCTTTTGAGCTCTTTTTATTCATCTAGAACTTTTACATCAGCCTTTCGGCAGCGAACAAAAACAAAAGTAGCCCGTCACCTCAGCAGAAACTTCCAAGTCTTTAATGCGTGTGTTTCAGAATTTCGATTGTCGGATGCTCTCTTAAAGTTGATATTCAAAATTGTGTAATTAATTACATAGAGAAAGACCAGTTCTTCACGATCAGCGTATTCATTAAGTTTTTTACGCTTAAATTTTAACACTAGGCATAAAATACACGCGAGTGACCTGGAAAAGGAGACGACCCGAAATTGGCGACTCCACTGTACTATATGCTTTTAACTAAGATTTCATATTATCTATATGCCTATGTGGTCATCTTACAAAAAATTGTTTAGTTGCCCTTTCCAAATCGTCTAACCAAAAATGGCTCTTCATAATTTTTTATTACATTCCAGGACATGTTTTTTTCTTTTTAATTCTCTTATCCCGTCAACAAATAAGTCCAAATTTTCTGTAATTTTTTTCTCACCTACTTACCACCAAGTAATTTCACCCTGTGTGTCAGGAAAGGACAAGCAAACATTATTTTAAAGATGGATCAATCTTAAAATTCTTACCCCTTTGGCAGTTCAAAAATGACAGGTAAACTCCAAAACAAAAAAGTAAAAGGATGTCAATAACCAGGGAAGTGTAAAATAGGGCAGGGAACTTGAAGAAAACACAAGCGACACGCAATACTAAATTCAATAACATGTAAACAAATATAGATAGAAACTCAAACTTTTCCATATTTCCCCTGAAAAAAAAAATATCAAATTTTAGATAAAACTGTTGATTCTTATGATTAAAAAAAAATTCATACCTATTTATAATTCGCTGACAGAGAATTATTTGCTGTATTTATGTCCCTACTGTAAAAATCACATATTCTCGCGGTTTAAATTCTCGAGGTTTACTGGTTTAGGGAGGATAAAATATTGCTTTTTGTGCATCTGTATCTAAACGTTGTAGAATCCAATTATGATTTTTTTTCCAACAGTTTGTTTATGTTAGGACTTACGTGGTTGGCGAATGTTAAGAAGTATTAAATGAATAAGATTTTTTTTATTTTGTGGCGGTTACAAATTTGTATGCTTCGAAAAAAAACCAAACGAAAAACATCCCTTACAAAATTAAATAATAATAATGCAAATCAGAAACGAGTAGTAAATGTATGTTAGCTTATTTTTTCAAGCTTTCGTGACATGGATTTTCTACACACAAACGCACAACCACTTGACGCGTCAATTAGTCCGAGATTACTCCGACTCTAACCATGAACGTCCTACGAAACCTTCCAGTTTTTATTTTTAAACTTTATATGCTATAACAAATGTCTAAGCTTAGTAGGAATATCAGATGGTTATCAGTGTATATAAACTCAAGGTCTAAATACAGGTGTTCTTTATCTTTTCTAACATCAAACTCACCTAGCTACTGCGTTTGACGGTTTGATCCACCATGCCATGTCTCGTCAGAATAAGCATGCGCAAAAATTACGTCACACGACGGAAGTGGCAAGATTAACTAAAGTCGAGAGGTTCTCCGATGATGACAATGAAAAAAACCGAAAAAATCCGAATTCAAGTATTTCACGGTCAAGGGGGAAGTAACTCTTGTACTACAGACATTTTTCAATACAGACAAAGTTGACTATGGACATCGGACAATTCACTCCGGGGATGTCTTTGTCACTGAAGAACAATCATCCCCACAATTCATTTAAAGACAAAGTTGACTATGGACATATATCGGACAATTCACTCCGGGGATGTCTTTGTCACTGAAGAACAATCATCCCCACAATTCATTTAAAGACACTCCGCCTTGTGGGGATATCCCCACAATTCCAATTATCCCCACAATGTATGTTTGAACTTGTATTCATCCCCACAATGTAGCAAAATAAATCCACAAGATACTGATGTACAAGTAACAGTAACTGGCATAATGCGCCGTTGCTTTATTCTTTAGTTTTTATAGAAAGTTGCACGGAATACCCGATTTCGCGGATTCAACGATACCCTAATATCGAGTATTATACGCGATTTCACGGATAATACCCGATTTCGAGTATTTTCTCCGACCTGTTCAATGAATGTAAACAAAGTAATCAGGAAAAATTCCAGCTACAGAACATATGGTTTAACCAAAACATAACTTATAAAGAAAAAAACACTCTATCTTTCAACCTGGATCAAAAGTGGTTTTTTAAAGTATGTTAATGATCTCTTTAATGAACAAGGGTTTAAAACAATTAATGAAATTAAAAAAAATTAATATGTTCCCAAAACTACCCTTGTGAGTATATGATTGTGAAAAGTGCATTTAAAAACATATTCCAAAAATAAGCCTACAATGTAAAGCAAATAAATATAATCCAGAGCTTCAACTTTCAAGGGCATTTTGAACAAGTTGAGGGCAAAAAAATCTAAATTCTTCTTCAATATTCTGTTAAACAAAGCATAAAAAAACCTGTAATGGAAAGATTTTGGGCTGAGAAATTCAACATTGATGATTTTCACTTTTGTGAGAACATTTACATGGAAAAAGTCAAAGAAATATTTGATAAGAATGTGTCAGAGTTTAATTTTAAATTAATGCATAACTTACTGGCTTGTAATAAGTATGTTAGTAAATGGGAAAATGAATATAGTGTAAACTGTTCGATTTGTAATGTAGAGGAGGACATTAAGCACCTAATTTTTTATTGTTGTGTAGTAAAACCAATTTGGAGTAAAATAACATTGCTTTTAAACATAGATGTGTCGTGGAAAGTTATTGTCATTGGTTTTCCAAGATATTGTAATAAAAATATTTTCATTTTAAACAATACATTGTCCTTCATTGCCTACAAAATATATAAATATAAAATGAAATGTAAACTTTTTAATGAGAGTGTGACTAATCAGCGTTTAGTGTATTTCTTAAAAAATGCACTTACTCAGTTCTATTTCATAACAAAATTATCAAAAACTATTGCATGTGATTTCGATATCAGAGAATTGTCAGAAAAATTATGAAATTATATATTATATATTGATCCAAAGGTGACCTGACCTTTGGTGTATACTTTCGTAGGGGGTAATGTGGACTCTTATGCGTTGGTGTCCCCTACGATTCTTTCTTAAGAAATTAAGTCGATTTTTTTCTTAATGCTATATGTACATGAAAAATGTTATGTAATGTACGTGAAATATTATATTATCTATCTATACATAAAACTGTATTTTTTTCCAACGGTTCTATGGTCCAATGGTTCTATTTTATTGAAGTGTTGACATCTAAAAATATGTATATCAAATATTGAATGTACTGATTCTTTCTATCTGATCCAGGTAGCTCCTGGCACCCCAGGTGAAGATATATTTAGAAGGACCTCCGATGAGATATTACCTCCACTTATTTGTTAATATATTATTGAAATAAAATTGTGAAAAAAAGAATGTTTTTACAAATTAGTCTAAAATCCTCAAAAGGGGTTTGATAGTTTCTTGGCCGTTTTCTTTATAACTTAAATTTACAGAATAACTTATGTTATATATATTTTTTAGACTCGGTGATAAATGTATTCTCTAGTATAATGTGAAGAATTGGTGTTTGTTAATATGGACACAAACTCTTTATTTTATTTACTATTTACCAGATTTTTTGGGGGGAGGGGGTTATCTTGTCACCTCCGTACAAACATGTATTACTGAGCACGGACTGACTGTATGTTTTATTTCTTGATATATAAATATTAATAAACGGGAGTAAACGTACCATCATAGTCTATTTCAACAAAGCTTTCAGTTTCATCTTCAGATATTTGTTCATTCTCTTCAGATAATAGTTCATCCAAAAAACTGGTCACAACTCTCCATTCCTTACCAGCCTATAAAAGAAATTTTCTTTTTATATATAGTTTTAACTCTATCATATTTCATGTCGTTTGTCAGGATAGAGGGGGGGATTAGTACACAAATCAATTTTAGGTTTTTATTTGAAGACCTTATTTAAATAAAAATATATAAATGGTGTCACAGTGAAACTCCAGCAGCAACCTTTCAATACAATTCCAGAGAATTTATATGCGGAATCCGATTTATTTTGATGTTGATCTATTAGAAGACTTAAACTATTCTCCGATTTTGATTCTTATTAAAAAAAAAGAAGTGGAGAATTTGTCTGTGAATTCAAAACGATTATAAATTTCATCTGAACAGGAATAGTTGAAAAAACGTCAGGGTTGAAAAAAAAAAAAGCGTAAGTTTTGTTTTATTCTACTGACTTTTGAAGAATTTGTCAATTTTACTTATCTGTGTTCTTAGGTGAGTTTTGGAATCCGAACATCTGATTTTCACCCTTGCAATATCCTGTAGCTTACATTGTAGCACGTTTTAAGATTACTTTGTGGAGATATTCGTAAAATATTAACCATTGTAATGCTTACATGTCCTGAGTAGATATATTTTTACTAAACATTGTCTTTATTTCAAAATCAATATACATGTAACGTGTAATGTTACTTATATCGCGGGCACCTGGCAATTTCATCAATGTCAATGTTCCAGAATTTTGTTGCCAAAATCAACACATGCATTGTTAAAAAATGATTGATGTCGAACTATCTATAATAATCACAAGAAGAAAAAAGGCCTTTCATGTTGAACTGAAGGACGTCCTTCAGTGACTTTTCATAGGTCATTCTGTCACTGAATGGCAGGTACATTTTATGTACCTTTTGCTACGTTCCAGCCACATTTCAGGTACTTTTCAGTCACCGATCAGCGGACACATTTCAGTTACCTTTCAGTCGCAAATCAATGACCTTCCATCGACTTTCCGTTGTATTTCAGTGACCTTTCCGTCACTTTTCAGCGTCCTTTTCATTATCGTTCAGTGATATTTTAGTCTTTATTCAGAGAACTCTTCACTGGATTATCATTAGTTTGTAATTTGTATCAATCTCTTAAAAAAATTGCATAGAATGCATTTACGTCTAAACTGTCTTTTTGTTTTCTTATTCTTCATGATCTTGTTACATTGAAATAATTCAGGTACATAGAACTGGTAATCAGGAATAGATGTTAAATTTTCTTTAAATTGTTTTCTAATGTCTAAAATTCTTATGCTAAATTTTGATAATAGATTGAAAATTATATGTTTGTCTTAAATCTTACTAAATCATGATAAATATTTTAACAAGCTTATTCAATATAACGAATACACAATCAAACAATTTAAAAAAAAATGTGGTTATCGGTTAAAATGCTTTTTATATTAATAGGAAAAATGTCATCTTTTTTTTCAGATCTTTAATTGATTTCAAAAACATCATTACATTTATATCAATCTACATGTAACAAATTGTACAGTGCGTCTAATTTTCATGGAAATATCTACTATTAAACTGGGAGACAGAGTTAATATTATTTATACCTTTTCTGGAAGAATCTAATGTTCAAATTTTCATTTTGTAATTGTCACAATTGTTGAAAAATAAATGAAAGACCACTGAAATGTATCTTCCATTCAGAGGACTGAATGGTAACTGGAGGATCGCAGAAAAGTTACGGGAAAGAATGTTCTCAGTAATCTTTCAGTGACCATTCAGTGGACATTCAGTTACAATTCCGTCGACTGAATTGTTTAATTTCATCCTGTGATTCTTTGAATATGTACCCAGATTTCTCTACATCCTCTTAAAACTAACTAAAAATAAAAGTGGTTCTAATTCAATACCCATACCTGTGAATCTTTAAAGAAGTTGTATAAAAGAATGTCGTCGAATTCTAGACCTTTTGCTTCGTATATCGTTAGTACGATTCCATGCTGCAATTCCTCGGGTAAAGAATCCCTGGATTCGTCATTCACCACTAAGATCGCCTGATGAGCACCAAACTCAATGTTTGATGTTGATTGTTTCTTTCCTGTTGCTAGCATCGTAGCTACATCCCTTTAAAATATAGGTCAATTAATAATATGGATGTCTAATGTATGCTGTAAACCAACTTTTATTCGCAACGACTTTATTTTGCTATTCATCCATCTTTGCTAGCCAAGGGTTACCGAACTGAAATCTACTCTACAACCCTTGGCAGATTTGGCTGAAATTTTTAGAACTCGCGCAAACGAATTTGATTGGCTGCGAATTAAGTCAAAGTCTATGCAATGTTTTTACTAATCAACGAATTTAGGCAGAATTAAAGTCTCTTCGTGTTTTATGCAAAAGAAGAGTATTTTTTACAAAGGAAGAAAGTTAGGACGGGATATATGCTAAAAAAAAAAAAACAAGGGAGTAATTAATTTGAATTTTTTCTTTTGATAATATATGTTTTCAAGAATTATTGAAAGGACCACATAAGTCCGTGTTCCTCATTTTAGGTGCATCAATTTAAGCGAATCAAATGTCACGGTTCATGGATTACAATTGAAACGGCAACATGTAGAAACTGTTGTCAAACTCTTGATACAAAATCACGAAGAACGATATTTTCTACCACCTTTGAGGTTTGCCAACAGCTGTATGAGGTGTTGGGTTATATTCCACATCAAATTGCATGGAGGTCGCCATATTGCTTCAAACGTCATATTGATGCAAGTCTTTTTAGGCTATTTTCATCGGACAAATATTGAAGAGCTTCAAGGGACTTAGCTCAATTACGGCGATAGGCGGCGCAATTAAAATTCCTGTCTGATAGGACTAAATCTGACAAGGATTGTAGAGTAGATTTCGGATGGGAAACCTTTGGCTAGCGAAGATGCTATTCAACATGGCCAGAATATTTCGCTGCCTTTGTTTTTCTCGATCAAGATGTTTTTTTTTTATCTGTTATTACATGCTCAGATCTAGAGACTTAAATGACTGGTTCGCAGCGAGAAATATTCGCAATGACTACCAATTCTTGTTGCCCCCGTTTGTTAATCCATCGAAAAATATTTTGACCAACATAATTGGCTCCTGTAGTCACATCTCACTAATGCAGCGTGGTTATCAATAGCTTGATTTTCATCGTTTTTTTAAATGTGTAAAAATATCCAAGGACGATTACTCCATTAATTGTGCATAGATTTTGATGCGTCCTTCTGTTTGGTTTTATTTCGCCGTAATCATATAAAAAGAACTGCACTTCCTTTAAACAATATAATACATACTGGATACTGCAAGATTCTAGAAGAATGGGAGCAGGTCCTTGAAATAATCCCTTGTCCTTTTCTAGAATATCAAAAGAATCTGGATAATATTTCGCCAGAATGTCCAAAATGCTAGACGCTAGACTAAGTATCCCATTGTGAGAACGATAATTGTGAGTAAGTTGATGAACCTATAAAATATTATAAATTGCAAGTTGATTGGTATAAACAAATAAAAGCCCAAGGAAGAATTTAATTTAAAATTTTTGAAATAAGAATATTATCAAGAGTTCCCCTTGAAATATTGTTATTTACCTTTTTAGGAATGAGAACCTTTTCAAAATCTTTTCTTGAATTCTTGGCATGGTAAAAGAGGGAGCAAAGATCTTCAAATCGAAAGCATATTCCCCTCATGATACCTTGAGCTGTATCTCCGGTCAAAAATATATCATTCGGATTGCGACACAAGTTCAACAGCAAATATAGTTCTGCTTGAGTGAAATCCTGGGTTTCGTCGACGTATATTTGTTGAATATTCCACAAATCTCTATCGACTCTATTCATTCTTCAGGAAAGAAATCATCGTTTTAAAAAAAAAATGTATGAACAAGTTCTATTCTTTTTTTATAATCTCACTCTGAATGCAAATGCAGTTTATCGTATATATATATATATATATATATATTAAAATTCAAAATGTCCTTGGTATAGGTATGTACATATAGAAAAATAATCCAGAGTTTGGAAAAGATGATCACATTTTATTCCAAAGCGCTTTCGCCATTCGGCTCTTCAGTGGATTTTGAATAACAATAGCTATTGTTATTCAAAATCCACTGAAGAGCCGAATGGCGAAAGCGCTTTGGAATAAAATGTGATCATCTTTTCCAAACTCTGGATTATTTTTTATATATATATATATATATATATATATATATATATATATATATATATATATATATATATATATATATATATATATAATATATAGTCTGAATATATGTAGTCTTTTTACCTTTTGAAAATATGCCTCACTACATCTGTCTCATCAAACATAAAATGCTGCTTCAGATAATGTCTGTATCTCAAAAATATTTCATAAACTGTCTCTCGTTCTCCTGTAAAGTTCGGGGCTTTTTTCTTGCCTTGTTCAAAATAGTCACTCTTACTGAGATGTCCCTGTTTAGCAGAGAGAGCCTCAAAAGATCCCTTTATGAAGGATATAATTTCCATCCATATAAGAGATGGGTGATAATGGTCCATACCCTTATTTATTTTTGGCCACACAAGATTCACGAAAATCTCATAAGTAACTTCCCTTCGAACATCACTCATTCTATTTACTTCTTCTATATTTTCAGCGTCAACATTTTGTTCTTCGTTCATGATTTCATCTAACTCTATATCAGAATCATCATCTATTGAAGCCAGAAATTCGAGCGATTCATTTTCATTCGTCCAGCCAGGTATATCAGCCTACATTATATATTTTAATATCTTATTGATTCAGTATTCAATAAAAAAAAATGATTTACATGTACAATTACATGAATTACTGAGATGTTTTTTTTTAAATAGAACACACTTTAATTTGTAAAATACAGCATTTTCAATTTAATGAAATAGTGACCTTTACATTGCCTTGCTCGTCCCGACGAAAAAACGGGTTGGGTAAAGAGGCATCAATCATAAGCAAGAGCTTTCTGGATGTTGTAAAGATGGGAAAGTGAACATTCTGGAGGTCTTGAAATCTTGACGGTAAGGCAATACCAACCCTTGTAGTGCGACCAGATTCAAAAGAACTGGCATTTTGGATTCCATAAAAGGTTTTCCGGACTTCGTTGCAAAGTACAAGATTTTTAGAAATAAATATCTGTCGAATATGACCATATTCAACAGGATTCCGAACGTCATTTTCCAGATCTTTCTCACACATTTGAGCAGTACTGGCAATCTGCTTGCTATCATCTTCCTCATCAGCTTAACAAATGAACATGTTCAGAATTAGCTTTAAATAATATACACACGTGAATGCACTTTCACTGTAAAAAAGAATTCAAAATCAAAAAATAAAAATACCTTGATTTTCCTCATATTCGATAACAGTTTTGTTATGTTGATCATATTGACTCCAAAGACGATACAGACAACAGGTCGTTTTCCCTGTGCCACTTCTACCCATCAATAATAGCGGACCAGCTGAAGACAAATTTATTATTACATGTTCTTTCTCTGTAACTTTGAATGGGAAATCTTTTGCATATTCCCTAGGGTCCAGAGCACAAACAGCCATGTCGGTCGAAAAGAAATAGAACTTTAGAACATGATATTCTTTGGCAAAATGACTTGCTGGTAGCAATAATTTCTCTTTTGTAGTATTTGGTTTTGATTCCTGTGAGCTATATCGAATAAATCTTCGAGGGATCCTCCTGCCTTTGTCATATTTACAATCAAGAGTTTCAGAACAAGTTAAGTATTTCTCGATTAAACATTCTTCGCCTTTTCGACAAGAGATTGTAATTTTCTCAAGGGATTCCCTTTTTCCCTTCTCATCAGTGAATATATCCCATATTCTAATCAACTCGGTATACAAGACGTTGTTTAACGTAGAACTACTTTCAGTTAGTCTCTGAGAAAAACAAATTGCTATTTCCCATAATATTGGACCAGTTTCGAATACCTCTATTGATTTATCTATAGTCTGCAATTTTATTTTCTCGCAAATACTACCAAGGAGCTCCCCGCGAGCAAGTTTTTTAAGCCTTTGAATAATATCTATTTTGAAAGAACGTGGTGTTCTCCGACAGTTCAGTTTTTTCCAAACATCAACTGTGCACTCTAATTCCCATTCTTGAGTTTCAAAATAATTAGGTTCAATCTGTTTGAAATAAATTAAAATTCAAAGTTAATCAGCTAAATTAGTAAAATTATTCAAACTGTTGTCAAAAACTGCAATTTAAAAAAGAACACTTATCACAGTTTACGTACATATTCATCCTGTACTTCACATTCTGTCTTCTCAATACTTGATATTGCTTTAGTTTCCTCGATAGAGTCGGACACAACCTTAATCATAATAGAAAAGATACAAATGAATCTGTATACTTGATTACATGTAGATATGAATGAATCAATTTCCTTTCAAACCAATACAGACAAGAACGAAATTCTTTCTGATTTCCTGATTTTCCTTATTATAATTGAATATTTCTCTATTTTCATCTAAATTCTATCTATATTTTGCATGGGTCTGACCGGTCCAAAGAGGTGATCATTCCTCCATGGCACCTAACTCCATCTCTAATGCTTTAGAGGTCCATGTTTGCTCCTCTCTTACACAGGTCGGAGAGAATACTCGAAATCGGGTATTATCCGTGAAATCGCGTATAATACTCGATATTAGGGCATCACTGAATCCGCGAAATCGGGTATTCCGTGCAACTTTCTATAAAAACTAAAGAATAAAGCAACGGCGCATTATGCCAGTAACTATTACTTGTACATCAGTATCTTGTGGATTTATTTTTATTAAACCTAATTCATACGGTTGTCAAATAAGTTTAAAATCACACGACAAACACTGCTGGGGTAACAAAGAGGACACAATGGCGTTATTATTTTTCAATATAATTTCTTCGTTTGTCTTTATTTCCCATTTAAGTATTCCATATACTTAATTTTCTAATTTTTGCACTATTCACAAAACGTGAAATTTTAAAGAAATTAAACGACTAATGCCGTGTTATGTATTTTTACTGAAAAATGTATGGCGTCCCTTTCACGTGAAATATAAATTATTCCTAACAATAAGAGAGTACAGTATAAGCGAGTCATAATTGTACATCTCTGCCATAATAGAATACCAACATTATTATAAAGAAGAAAATAAAATAAGATTAAAATAAATACCCACGGGAAAACAGTTTGAAAATAGCTAATTGAAGGTGAGTATCTTTTTTATGTCAATTTAGCATGAAATTTTTATTCAAAGACACCGTAAATTTTTTGGTTGCATTTTAATCGATAAAAGTTATGCTATTTTACCTTTATTTTATGCATTTGTGTGAAAATTGAGATCGAAGTCATATGAACAGGATTTTCTCTATTTTTTTTGGGGGGGGGGGAGTTAAATAAAAGTCAAATGTGTACATCTTTTCATGAGCTTATAATACATTGAATTTCTCAATAAAGAGCGATGTACAGTCATATTGAAATATGAATTACATAGTCAAGTTTTCACATTTCTTATAGTTTTTACGTTTATGAACATATCAATGAACAAACTCAGATAATGGAGTGTTCAATTGCCTTGGAAACTCTTGTCTTACTTTTTGGGAATATAATTCCTCATCGAACATTAAAATTTCAGAAAAATCGTAGCCACTTCCTTTCTTTTTTTATACTATTTGATAGACAGGGTAAATTTTACCTCTTTACCTTCTATATTTTTTTTATATCGCTATCTTATACCTCATTATAATATGCTAATAAAACGCACTATCTGATTGGTTCTAGACAATATTTCACAGTTTTCTTTTAGTTATTTTATCTATGATACGTATTACTCATGGCAATAACTTTTCCTAATACTTATCTATAATGAAAAAATGTGTTTAAAAAATAAACATGAATTCTAGTTACTTGTTGTCTCATATTGTGTTAGAAAATAACTGGTTGCATTTTGTTTACCTACAATGTATATGATTTTTATTGATGAAAAATCTTCCCTACAATTAAAAATATATGACCGAGTTTAACCGACCGTGACATTCAAAGAGAGGTCTCTTGGACACATGTAGAACACAGTCGATGTTGTTTTGTCAGAGGTGGTCAAGAAGCCTTTAGCCCCCCCCCCCCCCCCTTTTGAAGTCGCCAAGAAAAGGTAAAATATTGATGACTTAGCGAAATTAAACGATCAATAGTTATGTTCTCTCATAAGCTGTATTCCTGAAACTATCACTATGTCTGCTAAAATGTTGAAGACATTTTCTGCAAATATGTATGAACCAGTGATAAATAAAAAAGAAAAGGTTTTCAAAAAAAAAGAAAGAGGGTTCTTTTAGCCGAAATTTTAGACATTTTTATCATTACATTATTTATACATTCATAAATAAATTTGATTTTATGCACAAGATGAATGTGAAAGTAATTAATGACGCATACTTAGATACGATAGACATTCCCTTGTTTATACATGGCATCATATCTTGTGTGTGAAATGTGTTTCCGTATAATTTGATTTATTTTCAAATAGTTCATGTTTGTCGTGTTGATGTGGAATTATTATAAATTCCCGAATTCTGATACTTTACAATTCTGTTGTGTTGGGAATGAACATTAGGAAGATGCATATACTTTCAACATAAGGAAATATATCAAGCAAATCGAACGCCTTTTTGTGTGCAGATCATGAAATGTTCTGAGCTCCACGGGTATTTGTTGTCCCGTGCGCATTGATCTTGACGCCCCAATTCTTACTTGGCTGGTGATACCTTTAGAAAACATGTGTATCTAGATGAAAGTTAACTCGGCAACATGCGCCATCACATTGCTTAAGTTTTATTAGGTGATTACACCTCCTATACCCGATTTCGCGGATTCAACGATACCCTAATATCGAGTATTATACCCGATTTCACGGATAATACGCGATTTCGAGTATTCTCTCCGACCTGTTACATGTACTCTTTATTAATTGTTAAATGGAATGCTGTGCTCAAATACCATTGCTTTTCGCCATATATTTTATCTTATTTATTCATTGATATGTGAAACTAATTTGAAATCATCTTCTTTCGAAAATAGAAACTTAATTTGGCATTTACATGTATATTTAACACAAATCCTACAGTAATGTCTACTTCCACTGCAAACTTATTTTTTTTTAATCAAAGAAATGATTAACAGATAATTGCCTAGAAGTATTCATATACACTGTATATCAGTGAAGCGAATTGATTGTTAATGATTCAGATCAATACAATATGAAGATGAAATGTCTATTTTGCCTTTTCTAATCAATAACACTTTTAAATGTAGTAAAAATACATGTATGGTGTGAAATGACTCGTTCCTGCAAAAAATACATTTTTACATGATGCTTGATTTCACATTTATCCATCTGTTTGGGCTTTTGTTTTCTTTTGGCAAAATGTACAAACTAATTCATGTATATCAACAATGTCCATATATGGATAGATTATCGGACATTTTTATTCTCCATTTAGAAAGACCCGTGTTTTTTTATTCTGTACATTTCAAAGGAGCAACTCGTTACAAATCAAGATGAATTTTGTTAAAAATCTTCCATGCACTATTTTTCATAAGAGGAAAACCTTATTAACATATAATACAGAGCGTTCTTTTATTCTTTCTAACCTCACAATAGCTCATTCGGTAGTGAATTCGCTCATAGATCTGAGGGCTTTTGGTTGGAACACTACCATTAACTTCTTAAGTCTTAAATAAAATAGGATGCAAAAGTGCCCTTTAAAGCACCTCTCAATTTGAAGTGTAATTTCGTCCGGTTGAAGCCTTAATACAAATTCTTGTGTCACGACAAGCTTAGCACAAAAAGATTCCCACACTGCTTAATTAATTGATGAAGTTAAGTGTAAATAGATCTTTTTACAGGTATTTGGTAATATCTGTGTCATTTTCGATAATTGAAAAAGAGACATAAAACAACAAAATATAAATCGATGTTCTCCACGATTGTTTGAAAATTACCACCTAGATATGGATCTCAGTAAATATGGGAATTCATTAGACAAAAGGTCAGGAATAACTCCCAGTGTCCCCAGTGTGCCCGATCAGGAGTGCATACTCACTTCTCAATGGCATACATGATCCAAACTCTTATATACTAGTCAAAATTTCTAAGTCCCCTGCGCAAGTTTTTGCTTTACACTGCTCTTTTATTGAAATATTTCAACAGTATAATTTAATAAGTATACAGGATAAAAAAAGTAGGAAACAATTTTTCTCACTTAATCTATTTTATTGAAACACTTTAACACAATACGCAGAAACGTTAAGGTACCCTAGAATTAAAAAAAATCACAACATTAGATACTGCATTAGTCGCCATTCAAACAAATTCACAGCAAGACAACCGTTCCTCAACTAGTTTACGCTATTTAATAAAAAATCTTTTATTGAATGTGTTCCATGTGTAGACAAGGTCGTCCTCTAGTTCTAGATTTTGCTGCTGGAAATGCTGTCTCAAACACCGGTCTATCTTCTTCCATCCATGTAAGTTAGGGTTGATATAAGGATGACAAGGGGGCTTACAGATAGTACCAGTGCCTTGCTGACATGTATTCCCTACTCCTCCAGTTTGACATCGAGGAGAAGGCACTTCCGGTTCCGGTTCCATTGATATTTCCGGTTAAACTTTAGGATGATTTTGTTGTGTTTGTTGAAAATCTAGCGATTTCTAATCATTAAAACGAATTCAGGTATGCTTTGTAGTTTTTTCGGGCGGTAATTATGAAGGTTTTAAGTAAAATAAAGTCATACAGTGAAAGGAAACAGAACTTTCGTTATTCCGACCAGCTTGGGGTCATTTCAACTTCAGTTTCACAATGCTGTGTGGACATACACCGCATTTTAATGAAACTTTTTTTCTGTTTTTCGTTATCAATTGAAGATGGAGAACACGTGGAAGTAAAAAATATGAAGAATACACCCGAAAAACACATTGAATTTGAATTTCATGCTTTTTAACAAAAAGAGTCACGGTCGAGTAAATACACATTCGATTACTTTTTTTTTGCCTTGACAGGTAAGTATTGCAAATTAAAGGCAAAATTGTAAGCAACTAGTATATTGAAGTTAAGGTTTTTGCTTTTTTGAGAAAATAAAAGTGGGGACCTAGAAATTTTGACAAGTATACAGTGTATTTATTATAATCAGTCTTTTATTCCACTGCTCTCAAATTGTATTATCTAATTGGTCTTTCAAATTGATCACTGTTTGTTTTCTTATTTTTTTTAAGTGTCTTTCATAGTTGTACGAAACGGTTTATGATTTTTTTTTTCGTGAATTTTTTTCTTTGAATCAATTTTGGGCGA